CAAACAGCGAATATCGCGATATATGTATAAGGACATAAAATAGATACCAAGATGGTAAAATAAAAAAGATGAACGAAAATATTATAAAACAGAATTACATTTCAAAATATTCTAATAGTGGAAAGGGAAAAAATTTTCCTCAAAAATAATATCGCAATTATTTGTAGACAATTTTCCTAGCTTACTAATAAAAATATATTTCAAACAAATTTTATACGTATCAATTACAACATTACATTCAACTTACGAACAGTTTCTTTAGAGAAAGCTTTTTTCAAGAAGAGAATTAAATTCTTTTATAGAAGATAAAAGCCATTTCTAACATTTCAATTATTTAATCTGCACGTCTATCAATGTTTAACTAGTCAATAAATTATACATACATTCGTTACGATAATAAACTGCACGTTATTCAACTTTGATCGTGGTCACTTCGATGGCTCGACAGGACGATATTCGAGTAAAAAGATCTGAATAACTAACTGCCTGTTCTATTTGCAAGTACTGTTCTGTCGACCTGTCGACCTGCACGATCTCGAAGTCGATCGAATATTCATGCGCATATATTTGTCAAAATGTTCGCTTTAAATTCGTCAACCACTTCGTTCTCTATCGAACGAATATCAAAAGAGAAGTCAGCTTTTTACCAAATTCCTTCCTTTCCACCATTCTCTCTCTTCCTCTGAATAGTCTTGAGTGCGATTGATCGATTGTAAACACTATGAGACATTCAGAACACGTCTGATGCAACAGTTAGAAGGCTGTTGACAAACATTTTCTTTGAAGTATTGCTTCCAGAACGAGCTGTAGGCAAGTCGCTTCGACGAACCTACTCGATGATGCAACATTAGACTTGGTATTCGCAAAGGAGATATCCAAGGTACAAATACCTATTCCAACAAGATTTCTCGACATTCGATGTCGTTCGTATATTTTGAACAAGATATTTCACAATTTTCCTTATCGTTTGGTATCTACATGTAAAGGAAAACTAGAAAAAACATTAATGTGAAAAAAATAACGTATCTTATGTTTGGCATTGTTATACCTTTGACATCCATGGACGAGATATTTCACGCGCAAATATTTACCTATTCGATTTCTTGAATGAAATATCTTGAAATTCGATATTATTCATGAAGCTTTAAACATGATACTTTCCTCTTTCTGTGTTTTTCAATATTTGAAACTGGATATTTTTCATATGAAAAGAGAATAAAAGAACTATTGACTATAAAAGCATAACATAGAATACCTTTGCATGACTCATTTGATATTAGCTTAATTTCCCTATTAATAAAATAATCATTATACCTCAGTAAGATATACTATTCCTATTTTGTAATTATAGTATTTTTTACTTCGTATTATGATCATTATTTACCATATATTTGTTGATAATAAAATACTTAAATGTATAAATACATATATGACACAATACAAAAGATGTGATATGAAAACTGCATAAAATTTTTGTTCCTAGTACACCGAAAAAACTACAATAAAAATTTGTCCCAGTATCTCTATTAATTTTTATTATAGATATTGATATTTCATAGAACAAAATTATTATTTGATTATTTAAAATAGTGTAAAATTAAAATGTAAAATGTGAGATAACACGAAAGTGAATATATTCGAAAATAAAAGATTCATGTAAAAAACAAATTTGAAACAATAGGTACGTAAAGCACAATAGATTGAAAGTTGATACGCAAACAAGTGGCGAACTTTAGTCGAGGCTGATTTGTTTTTCTTTTTTTTTTACTGCGACAGGTATATCAAGCCGGATTCGCTTCTCTAACTGACTCGTACGGACGAAATCGTATTGAAACTCGTATCGTAACTCTTGAACACTCGAACAGTAGTTATATTTTATCATTTTTGCAACTGCAACTTCACTCTGGATATTTTCAAACTCTACCAGGAAGCGTTAATACAGTCCTGGAAAGGATCCATTATTCACATCTTCTGACATGCACTTTTTACAAACGACAACTTCTTAAAATTATTCGGAACATACTAAACCTTTTCTGAACTATCAATTTCATTTAAAATAACATGGTCTCTTGAAAACGAAATATATATGTATAAATTCTATAACTGAAGGTACCAACAAAAGTCTGGCATTTTACATTCATTTATAATTAATATTTGTTTCAAATGGATATACAAAAATACTCTGTATTTACAAATATGGATTATTTAGCATTAGCAATAATGATAGCTAAGATGATGTATGATAGCTAAGACAATGTATATATTTAAACTAGATATATATCTTTCAGAAAAGAACGCTATATTTGTACAAACAATGCCATTTTCATATACTGAAATAATCGACCTCCCCTCATTATTTTACAGCATAATACGTGGAATTTTATGTCCAATATGACTTCTATATATTATCAAAACGAAATGTAAAATTATCAAAATTAACCTAATTGTACTTAATTTTCAACTTATAGTAACTTAAACTTCGTTAAATATAAATAGAATAGCAAGACCTCCTCGTTACAAAAATATTTGATCTTTGCAGGGTGTGTTAGTCTACACAATATTTAATATAAAATATAACAAGTTGGTGGATCATTTTACAAATTAACTTGCATATAAATTATCTTATATATTTTACTTTTTAAATATATATAGCTAATTCATTGTAATACAAGAGATATTTTATATGAAATGTAACAAGTTTCGAGAGAAGAATATAGTGTACGAACGAATTGGTTCCACATGGAGGCATTTAATAATTGTACATATAAAATGTAACTTTAAGCGATAGCAAATGACCCAAACTGAATTTGAGTAATTATTATACAACTTATGGTGGAACCTATAAGAGAACATTTAATCTTCCTTTTTATGAATTGTCAGAAGTACACATCTATTATCACAGAATTAACTATCTTAGTAATAAATACTAATCACTTCTTTAAAAAAAAAGCTTCCTTTATTATATGAATATAGGAATGTAGAAATTCTATGAAACCTGGCATATGCACTTTCAGTAAAAAGCGACAGTCGAACAAAATAAAAGCATTTTATTATCTACGGATATTCTAATTATTGGCCAACGAATACATAATTATACTATTCGATATCATCAAAAATGGGTAATGAATTTTCCTCAGGCTCAAAATGGCACGCAAAATTTTTCCTGAGCCTTCCAAATGACGAACCCCCAAACGCTTCGGGCTAGTAATAAATTTCCATAACGCTAATCGAACCAGAATCGGACAACCCAATTTTCCAGAAAAGTAAGAGTATAACGAACGTGTGTAACATTCAGCGTGAAAGGAATAATTAATAAGTCGTCGCTCACGATGGTACGTAGATCCAGCCGACTATCAGAACTCGTTCTTTTCACAGTAACAGTCCTATCGTTCTTTTAGTCCAGCTCTATTTGTCTTTTTCTCTTCTTCCTCCATATTTGTCCTGCTCTTTCGTACTATCTTTTTCCCCTCTTTACGTGTTTCTCTCACTACAGCTACGGGATTTTTAAATGAGAATTTTAACGATCGACCTACATTTCTGTGCCCTATTTACGGTGTATCGCATGCAATGTCAAACACCGCGATAAATATACTACCACCAGCGACGACTGCCACGGCGGAAAGGAAGAACGATGTAATTGCGAGTACGCCGCAAGACCCCTTCGCATTGATGCCTCTACCAAAAACGGGAAACAAGAGAGAAAGGAAACGGTATTGTAACGATTAGCAATTTGTCGACCCAGTTTCAATACATTTTTGCTTTTTCCGAGATTACACAGTCTTTGTGATAGTGAATAGAGTAGATAGACGCAGGAGTTTTTAGGGCGTTTTATGTTGTCTTATGATATCTTATATACTTTACTTTTTAAATATATATAGCTAATTCATTGTAATAATACAAGAGATATTTTATATGAAATGTAACAAGTTTCGAGAAAAGAATATAGTGTACGAACGAATTGGTTCCACATGGAGGCATTTAATAATTGTACATATAAAATGTAACATTAAGCGATAGCAAATGACCCAAAGTGAATTTAAGTAAACGATAGATTATAGGTCGTTGGACGTGTCGTCGCATAAGAAGCGGAGAGGACCTTAAAATCTCGAAAATGCTTCCACCTGGAACAAAGTCGTGTCAACCATATGTCCGCGTTGAAATAAGATAAATTTATCTAGAATTAGTCAGAAATCCTATTTCGTATAATTAATAGTGAGATATGCGATTGGAATTGAAACTCTGTATCGATAAACAGTGAGTACATAATAATTGTATGCAATTCTAACAGAAAAAGTAAAAAAAACAGAATATGAACAGATCTTCTTTCTAGAAACTATCAATAAATATTTTTCCAATAACTATTTAGATTTCAATAGAAAGATCTGATTTAATAGTTTCTTCCCATCGTTATTTAGATTGATATACAAATAAATTTATATATATTATTGACTATATATAGTTTATATCCAATAAACACGCCGTAAACCTCATATTCATTACAATTAATTGAGAAATATATTTTATAAAGAGTCTAGTCTTTTTTCTAATGTATAACATTTACAATGTTAAATTGATTTAGCTGCATTTTGTTTCTAATACAATCTAAGTTATTTAAAAATGAAATATTTCTTTGTGTGAGAGGGTGTATCATTTATCTTAATTTGTCCTCCTCATAAACACGAATATAATTTATATCTCTATATATTTTATACTCAAATACAATTTATACCTCCTCCAAAAATTATATTCGTTCTATATTCTTTACTTTTCCATATTATATGTATAATATATATAAAATGTAATAAAATATATATAATATATATTTATATATTATTATGTATATTTAATTACATAAAATTTCAAGAATCAATTTATTGTTTGATTAGTATAGTGCCACGAGATTATACGTACATACAGTAAGCTTTGTTTGAATTGCAGTTCGCGCCAAAATCATTATCGACAAATCGATCGAAATTTAAATAAATTTCTCGAAAACTTACCCTCATGTGCGGCTGGACGAGAAGTTCATGGAGCTCCCGAAGATCCGCCCTATCGATATTTCGTATCGCTGAATGCTCTATTTCTCGAAGTAGTTCCTCGACTTCTCGCGCACGCTGAACTGCATCTGTCTGCGGCGCTCGACATGGCGTTGGAACTCGGGTCGAGATTCTATCGTAAAGCTAAAGAACAATAACCATATTAGTCATTCTATTTAACTTTCCAAACTAAAGATATAACAATACTTCAACTACAAATAACAATTACACGCTTATGATCTAATTATCAATAGTACCACTTATATATGTATAATATTACAGAATGTTACATATCTCATAAATACGTTTCAAGTTATTTCGTCTTGTATATCGTGAAATACAATTCCCATAAATATGACTTGAAATCGTTAATAATCATTAATAAATCGAGAACATAGACATAAAGGAAATAGAAACAATAATACTTGAACAAATATAAGATCAATTTCGTCCAAACGTTTAAATAAACTTACAATAAAACGTGCTTATTTCCTACACATCCGCTTATCACGTCTGTCAGCCATGTACTAATCGTATTCGCGGCAAAATACTCTAGTTCATCACGAAACCTTTAGATGTCTCATCACGTTACAGCGATTGGTTCGTGTGTGGATGGAGCGACGATATTGTTTACATTACCGACGAAAGAAAAAGAGAAAACCAACGGAGGGACGATTACCCGCGTTTTTGCTCAAAATCGATTTACTCACCAAGAGGTAGGCAAATTCGAGCAGGTCACCGACCAATTCGACCTCGCCGACGTATATTAATTGACAAAGCCGCATTCTTGTTTACTTTCGTTTCCAGTTTTAACACGTGGGCTATTCGATCCCACGCGATCGTTTATATAACACAAAAGAGATGCACGTAAACATCTATGCGATGGAAGACGTAATACGGCGCCATTTCAATCCTGTATAGCATTTTGTTTATCAGACCAGCACGTCAGCCATCTTAATAAACGGACTTCGAGCGCTTGCGCTCTTTCCCACGTCAAATGAGGACGCGTAACTGGCGTAAATATAAACCGACAGAAACTAACGGTGGCGCCACGAATGACGGAAACTGCCGTTCTGCGTATTGGTAAAGTAGGAACTCTAGAAGTGCATATGAGTATGTGTGTGTGTGTGTGTGTTTATATTTTCAGATATACCCAGTAATGAAAATTTATATCATTAAAAATTACGTTGGAAAAGAACATAGTATATAGTCGTATAAATTCGTAATAATTGACTTCAAATGATATTCTTTATCATTCTAGTCGTTATATTATCGACACTCAGTAAGTGAATAAATTAGAGTTATTTATGAGTAAGAAATAAAAATTTTCATTAAATTTCTTTTCTGATGTACAACATACTTTTTAACAGAGGAAACGAATTACGTATATGGAACATTTTAAGATAATGTGGGAACTGCATTTCATATACTATCTTACGAAATATGAAATATATGTATGCATATAATCAGAAAAGTTGATATATAAATCATTTTTACGGTATCTTTAATATACATATTCTTACCTCTAAAATGGCACGAAGACGATAATCGTCAACTGCATTAAGTATCTCAGCACGTGTCAGTCTTCCACTCTCTTGAAGTACTTCAATATCATCCAGAGAGTCTAAAATTTCAGCTACAGCACCTAGAAATTAATTTTGTCTTTAGAAGATACACATGATAGTACGTAATAAGTAATACACAATTGATACATTGAATCATTCTCGATAATACGTACTAGTTCCTATAATTCTAATTAACGCAAAATTTCAGAAGTGTAATAAAAAGAATATACTGATGAAACGAATTTATAAATCTCAACAATTTAAACGATATTAAAGTAGAAAATGACCACTCACTTAATTAGAATTGGAACTGACTTAAACAACTGATTTAATATTAGATCATATCACGTATTATTTGCAACTCTAAGTAACGTTGAAACAAGCAAAAGATAATAACAATAACCAAGTAAAAACATCAACAAATTATGATGTTTTAATGGTAATTAAAATTGAAAACTTTTAAGGAATTTATTTAATGACACTTACTTCCTTAATTCGTTCAGTTTTATATAAAGATTAATGGTTAAATTATTTGTTTCCTTCCTACTTATTCATAATTAACTAACCAATATATACATTACAAATAGATATTAAAAATATTTATACCTGTGGTTATAACTTCATCATCGCCTATGTCGAAAAAACTGTCGCCGTTAATTTCCGAATACGGGATGTGCCATTTCGACGACGAGATCGCCACTTTTACAGATTCCTTCAATTTTCGTCTAGCATTGAATTTCTTAAGCTCTTCTATAGTTTCGCCTAAATGTATTCGAGCCACGCCCTTATCACGATCCTACAAATATAGTTTGTTTAGAGATTATGCAACTTCAATATTGTCATAATGAATAATGAACTTAATATTAATGCTACGCCATGATATGTATGATAAATCACTTGAGAAAGTTCTTAGTGAAATTAGAGCATCGAACGAATGCCTCGTATTAATTACTTCTCATTAATTTCATCGGCCAAGAACGAATCAAATTTCCCATATTTATCAATCACAGAAATATCAATATCCTTTTTATTTAGCGAGTATATATTTAACAAAAATAAATATTCATTATTTAAAATAAAATAAATCAGTAGAAGTAAACAAATATATGCACATGTATTTTTATACACTGTAGGAAACAATCTACACGTTCGAGTAGAAAAATGTTCGCTTTGAAAAAACTCCTGTGTCGGGCAATTTCTTCTTAACGAAAAAAGGACGATCATTAACGCGCGTTTCTATGAAGTTCTTAGGACTTCAGCGAATGTGCAGTCACGTTCAAAAAACTGTAACTAGTACAGGGAAAAATATACACCGCTACAGTTATTTTCATTAACCGGTGGAACTTTGCCCCTGCTATAGCGATCGATAGCCCAGTTGCACGTGTATTGCATCGATATATGGGGTGACTCCAAGCTTCGCTACCTTAGGTCACTGGCTAACTGTCGTATCATATAAGTATATTCTTACTTTATTACACCATATGCCATGGACATGCGCACGTACATTCACCGGATATAATAACAGAAAATGAGGCCGTTTATCGAAAACCTGATACGATATAAAAAGAACCAGATGCGCTCGCAGCATCTATTAAATAGAAGTTGTTAACACAAATGGCTCAACACTAAGGATAGAATCAGCTTCAATACGCACTCACGAATTCAAATCGATTTTGATGCAAAAATCTCATTTCGTAAGAGTCGATTTCTATTAAATTTACTTTAAAAGAGAATTTTTCATTTTCTATATTGACTAAGTTAGTATCGAACTTCAGAATGGACCCTTGTAGATTTTATTTTGATATTTGCATGAAATATAGAGTCGCGAAAATTATATTCAAACTTTACAAGGCAAGAAACTACGTTACTAGGTATAAATATTACACAGCGTATACTCCGACTTCAATCGAATTTCGTATTGCAAACAAAAAGCTATCGTTTCAAAGATTTACACAGAGAATAGAAGGTTCTCGATTCCAAACCACTTGGCCTAGGTTCGATTATATTAAAGTTCCACTTACATTTCCCAAAGTGCAGATAAAGAATCCCAAAGCTATATGATCTAAAAATATCGTTTTCTACCATTTTTAATAGTACACGTAAGTTTTCTCAATCAAATTTGAACTAGTGTAAAATTACACTATACAAGTATTCGAACCCATCTCTACTAAACGTATGTACTGCTTCAAAATCCCAAGATGCCTCTCCTCTTAAAAATTTCACGATTTCACCACTTCGAACTTCATTAATTTAGTACTAACTATATCTAAGTACTTTAATACCTGAATTCTAAATATCTATCTCGCAAAGATGACACGATTATCTTTCGAAAGTTCTTTCAGATTTTCGCGATGGAAGCTTTAAGCTCCCTAGAGTTTACTCCATATGTATCGATTAGACTTCTAAACGCTCGAAAACTCTGATTTCCTTTAAAACATGAAAAAAAAAAAACATTTTGAACATGACGTTAAATATGGAAATGACGTTAAAACAGATTGAATGAAAGACGACTTACTCTGAGCCATTTGTGGTTCAGCACTTCCTGTATGGTAATCCTGTGATTTACATCCGTTGTGAGCATTCTTTGTATGAGATCCTTGGCTGACTCGCTGATATTGTCCCATAATGGCGATCCCATCTGCAAGTTTTACGAATACCTTACGCATTTATTATACTTATGACAGACATGGAAGCGTGCTCGTCAGAGCTAAATGCACATCAAAACATGATTATCTTTCTTGCGCGCTTTGTAAAAACAGAGAAAATGTAATGTCTGGTCAATTTCTACCTGTACTCGTCCTCTGCAAATTGCTTCTCGCAGTCTATCTCGAGAGCCGACGAATGGAAGTGTACCAGTTAATAGGACATGAAGTAGTACTCCGGCTGACCAGACGTCACCAGGCTTTCCGTACTGTCTGCGCTGGACCACTTCCGGTGCCATGAAGTGTGGGCATCCAACACGACCTGCACGACCAAGAACACCATCAGAAACATGTAAAATAACCGACATATTCGGCATGGTGGAAGCGAGCCGGCAGTGATTGCTTCGAGAGTCCACAGTCGATCGTTACACGTTCGAAGAAACTTTTAGAACCGACCGAAACTTCATCGGTAAGTTCCAAATGAGAAGTTTCAACATTTCCCGTAAACTTCTCACCTCTCGGTCATCAACGATTCGTAAACAACGACCCTCTTCTCGTATCGCGTTCCACGAATACTTTTCTCACGTCGATTAACTGCAGCTTCTGTTAAGAACACGTTCAATGCCGCGTATATGATCAACGTCGATCGGCGATTTTTATCGGAAACTAATAACATCTTGAGAAAAGAGGTACGCGCCCGGTCGTTTGATATTGGAAAAGAAAAAAAAGAAAAGAAACGGAGAAAAAGGGAAGCTGCGATGACGAATAAAAAGCGGGTAATCTGTATTCTGAATAATTAATTTAACCCTCTTTGGGCTATGATTCGGCCTTTTGGAATTCGAGCACTGAATGAAACAAAGGGATACATTTCTAGTGTAATAGATTATAATATTTCTCAAAGCAGAGAGTACATAATTTTTGTTATATGATATAACCAGCATAATTTTACGGTTCCATATATAATTTCAGTACAATATGTAATCTCTATAATTTTAAAATTGCCGAAATTTTATGATGTATAATTTCCCTCCGTATGCGGCAGTGAAATTTCGTGCAAAATTAAAATTCTATACATATTATATGGTTTGGAAATGACCGAGTCATTGCCGTCTGCGGTTCGGCGTTTGAGGGTTAAGAGCTTTCGGGAATTTTATTGCGACGCTAAGAAAGCGTTAACGATCGAGGCTCGATGAACAAAAAGAAAGAAAAAAGAACCGCTCGTTATCCCGTGAATGTTAGATCGACTGGACCGGAGCTGAGTATGTGTAGATAATGCCGACAAACGAATGTGTAGTATATTAAATGCGAAATAAATGAAACATTCGGTGAGACGAGAGAAACGCATTGCCGCGTTTAACACACAGTACTTACAAGCACGGTATGCATATTTTGCAAATGGCATCGTGCTAGTCAAACGTATAGACGTATAAACATCAATAATATCTAGGATTGATGGAAGTTGCAGAAACGAGATATCGTGCTGCAAATATGTAGACCATTAAGAAGTCAACATTCATGTTTACAAGAACGACAGACAATACACTTGTTAAGACAAAGCAAACATCAAGACAAACGCGGGAAACATGTTTATTACAACTGTTTGTATCATTATCATAACATTTTAAATACGTTCAGTTTGAAACAGAATACCTAACTATCCTATTTCTTATTAGAAATTCAAATCTGTATTTCGGGGATTTCAAAAGAATAAAATTTGGGTTTCTTATTTTTTTTTTAAGACGTTAAATAGGTTTATGAAGCTACGCTGTAATTTACTAATCAACTGTTTGATTATACCATACTTTAAATATCTTTGTATTAATTTACGTGATACTTGATATTATAAGATAAGGTAATGAAGAATTTAAGTTAGAAGATTATTATAGGTTTTATAGTATTAAAATTAATGAACGTTTCATTTAATTGAAACAACTATATAAATGCTTGTGCTCCATTTACAATTATTTAATGTGCTCTTAATCACGGTAGTGATATAACAATTTTGTCAATTTCAGTATCTGCCGAGACAAAAACAGATAATTAGGTTTCTGTTTCTAACAAATCACCTCTTAAAAAATATGATATACCTACATGTGATATAAATGGCATACATATATAGAAAAACATACATTCATATAAGCAGAATGTTTAATTCGAAGATCATTCACATTGACAATTCAGTGTACGTGTAGTGAGATATTTACTTTCTTTGCAAATGACATAAAGAGTAATATGCACAATGCTTTTGATATGACGAAAGTTTTAGAAGCAAATTTGCAAATCAGCATATGCTATTTGCGAAAATCTTTTAGTAAAAGGTAAATGTTGTTTACGTAAAAGAAAGGCAAGAGAAAAAGCTAATTAGCATATATATTAGCTAAAGGAGATTTCGTCCATCTCTTCGAATTACATCTACCGGAATTATGCGAAAATGCCTCAAAGTAGGTCAAAATTAGAATACACAGAAAGTGTGAAATATATATATATATATATATATATATATATATATTTATATAGCGCGAAATATGAAAACATGAAAAAATGTATGAAGGGAAAATACATTAAACTATCATACGAATCATACATTAACAAGTAGAGAAAAAAGAAAGTATACAACGAAATGGAGATGATAATATAGAGCTTGAAGTTTTAAATTGAGCATCAAAGTAATATAAAAAGGATATTACGTTTATGCGTGTAATTGTCGATATCAAAGGGAATAAGAATTATGCAATATGAAACGTGCATGCGTAATATCGAATAAGTTTCTCTTTATGAATTCTGCGAGTAATCATGGAATGAAATGTTATCGATCGAAATTCTATTGAAATTCAATTGCATTATTTGACGGGTAGCATTTTGTTCATGCTCTTTAGTTTTAACGTTTTCTTTTTAAACAAATAAACAAGTGAAACTAAAGATAGGGATCCGATAGCATTATTTCAAGTATAATTAATATTCAACGTATCTTCTTTATTTTTATCGTTCGAAAGCATAAATAAGTAAAATAAATATCGTGTTTTCTATAAATATATATCAGCGATATAAATAGCAAAAAATAACAAATAGCTCATCACGCGACATAAATCACGTGCATATGATTGTGTGTTAGTGCATTAAATTTTAGCGAGTCTATGTGAATAAATACGAATGAAAATTACATGTCCGTGAAGCTGTGCAGTAGCTGAAAGTGAATTTTTACTGTTGCTTTTGGGTATTTTCGTGTCAACCGTAAGGCTAGAAAAAATTATAGAGCAGTTTTATCCTCGCTCGCAAATTACAGATTAAACAAATAACATAAATTATATTTAATCTGAAATCGACACTAGAAATAAGATAGTATCGTTCGAAACGAATGTAGCACTCTCTACAGCATAATTTTATCGCGTTCGTAAATTTTTACCTTTACTGATACGTTAAAATTTTTATCACGAACGGAGGGTGTTACGCGACGATCACTTTCACGCAGAGCTATTCGCTTGATCTAACTCTCGACGATGAAAATCTTACAAACTGTACTGAAACGTACCACTTGACTTTGTTTACTCGATCTTTTTTTTTTACTTATTTCAATTGCTTAATCAATTATATTCGAAGTAACTAGAATTTTATTTCGTATGTTTACTTTAAGCTATCTGTTTACGTTACTTTCAAGAAAAGATTAGTTCCTATAAATAAAAATATTGAAATTGATTTCTCAGTGTTAGACATGATTTATGACAATAATGATTGTTATGGAGACGATTTCTTAAATATTATTTATAACATTCAACGTTGATGATATTTTTAGATATATGAGATTATTATGACAGTGATACGTTGTTAGAAACATAGCATGATGATGAATTGCATCTATGTGTAGAACGTTCATCTGCATTTAGATCTAGACACTTACTTACGTTCGAATATCACTTGCACGATAAATTCTTAAAAACTGCTAGAAAATATTCATGATGTAACGTACGACAGTTCACCACAGATAACATACGATACGACATACACAAAGGCATACATATAAACAGACACATAAAGATAGGCTAGTCTACCGCTACGAACAATGACGACACAAACAAGCCCAAAAAATCGGGCAATTTTTGAACGCATCAGACCAACAAACAAGGAAAACATTGAAGAGTTTATTACGTATGATAGGTGACAATTAAAAGATCATTTTCTTAAATATTTCTGATACTTATTATAAAATATACACGTACGTACGTGACACGTATGTACTTACAAATACCTGTACAAATAGAAATGTAGCAAACAAGAGAATGTGTTTATGTTAAACCAGATAATTAGTTTTCTTCTTATTCTTCTCCGTTATCTTCTGTTTATAGTAATGGACGAAAGGGAATTTAACATTAGTATTTGAATATTATCAAGTTCGACATTTAGACATTTGAATTTTAAAAATATTCACTTGCGATTGTAAACAAGATAACAAAAAATCGTAATGAACTCTTCAATCGTGGGATCCCTATAACGATGAAGCAGAAGTCGATTCATTCGTACACGCTACAAAAAAACGGGACACGTCGACGAACGGGAAACAAACTAAAGGAAAGAGATAAAAAAAAAGGAACGAGAAAAAAAAGAAATAACGGGTCTTTCTGTCTTGTTCTTGAGATATTAGGCAGCTCGACGACACAACGTGTATCTGTCACTACGCGAGCCTGCACAACGATTTTACAGGAACAAACTACCGCACGTAGGTCAAGTGGAGTGTCTACGCAGACACTACGTGTTGTTCTGAAGCTGACATAATTGAACGACACGGGGGTAGAACGAATATGCGTGTCATTGCATCGAAAACAAGCAACCGAGGAACATTTTAATTGATCCCCATGTTAATTCGAAAGCATAACGATAGTACTTGTCGATAGGATATCGCGACGAGTCGAGACAGAAATCGAACAGTCTTTTTTATCCGTAACCCATCGAGCCATCGGTATGTTAGTTTTTCGTGTTCTAATTCGAACTAAATGATTGGACATATGGGATCGACGACATTTTTTAAAGAGGAAATCGAAGGTTCTTTCTATTCAAAATTTTATTCCTTTCTTCTATTTTTTCTTTTCTTTTTTTTTTTTTTTTTTTGCCTGTCGTATCTACCCCCGGTTCTCGTTATTATGCGGATGTGGCAGGCATACGAGTACCGATATTGTCCTCCGTATCGCTCACTAGCGAATCCTCGGCGTCGGTCAGGTCCTCGAAAGGGAAATTGCAGCTCGGAGACGTCAGCCCTATCGAAAGAACACAGACAAATAGGACAAGGATCGTTATCGGCGGAGTAATGTCAGGGTGTGCAGCATCTGCCATCATCGACGATAAGAACCTTATCGTCATCGCCGTTATTCGTAGAGGAAGACAGACCTGTGTTTGTGTCATTGTATCAAAGAATCGAGTTTTAGTACGGGCCAGAGTTGAGGTCGAGGCCCGGGGAAAACGATTTTCTAAGCGATTCTTTAGCAAAAGTGTGCCTCTGTCGGAACAATCGAATGTTAACCTCGTTGACTCGTTTGGTCATTGAAGATAAAGGGAGTTTTCTATCTCCTCTCTCTCTCTTCCTCCCTCTTTCTCTATTCACTACCATTGGCAATAAGTTTGTTGTCCCTCGTTTGCTTTCGAACGACTTCCTTTGGACATTGTGGTGTCTTGTTATTTCTTTTTTTTTTTTTTTTTTTTTTTTTTTTTTTTTTTTTTTTTGCCTGTCGTATCTACCCCCGGTTCTCGTTATTATGCGGATGTGGCAGGCATACGAGTACCGATATTGTCCTCCGTATCGCTCACTAGCGAATCCTCGGCGTCGGTCAGGTCCTCGAAAGGGAAATTGCAGCTCGGAGACGTCAGCCCTATCGAAAGAACACAGACAAATAGGACAAGGATCGTTATCGGCGGAGTAATGTCAGGGTGTGCAGCATCTGCCATCATCGACGATAAGAACCTTATCGTCATCGCCGTTATTCGTAGAGGAAGACAGACCTGTGTTTGTGTCATTGTATCAAAGAATCGAGTTTTAGTACGGGCCAGAGTTGAGGTCGAGGCCCGGGGAAAACGATTTTCTAAGCGATTCTTTAGCAAAAGTGTGCCTCTGTCGGAACAATCGAATGTTAACCTCGTTGACTCGTTTGGTCATTGAAGATAAAGGGAGTTTTCTATCTCCTCTCTCTCTCTTCCTCCCTCTTTCTCTATTCACTACCATTGGCAATAAGTTTGTTGTCCCTCGTTTGCTTTCGAACGACTTCCTTTGGACATTGTGGTGTCTTGTTATAGACGATAAAAAAAGTGAAGTTTAATTAGGTCTTTGCATAGTAGCTACTAAAAATTTATCGTGAGATCCGGATTTCAATTTATTGCTACGCAGTTGTACTATCTCTCTCGTTCTCTGATCTAACAATGGGCTAAGTAACACTGAAATATGTAGCTACTCCATTTATGAATAAAAATATAGATGTAGTACATATGGTACAGCAATGGAATCTACGATACATTAATAACACTAATATAATAGAATCGTTAAATTCAAGTGCATCGTAACAAATAAGTTGAAAATATAGAGTGTAATCTCTTATAATCAGTACGAGGTACGAAGCTTCGTTTTTAAGAAAAATAAGCCGAAGGCTGCTTTCTCAATTTTACGTATCTTTTTCATACATCCATATCTCAAAAATAAAATATAAGTTAATCGACGAAAAGAGATGAATGTACCTTGACGAGATTAATCTTCTAAATAAAGGAATGGAAGGAACGAAGCTTCGTGCAGAGAAACACTAACTCACGTGTAAGATCTATTCATCTATACAGAATCACGGAACACCCTATATAATCATTTACACTGAAAATCACATCGAACAATATAACAATGATGAAAGGTAGAGGGATGACTGAACGATGTGAGGGAATGGTAAAGTGGAATTTTCATCAAGGGACTTTCTTTCAACACGAATTCGTTTCCTGGCGTAGGTTCGATAAAACACCGAATGGATTTCCAACACGAAAATGTTCGAGCTCGGCGCGCATCGAAACGACTCGTTTGAGACTCGTGGTCGAAATCTGAACGCGGAAAAAGCAAGCAAGCAAGCAGTGGCAGCTTCTAGAAGTACAGTAACGTGAGAGGGACACACGGATCGGGTTAAGATGGTAGCATAATGTGTGGTGTATATGTGAATGTGTTCTGGACGTGTGTGTGAGTTGTGTGATACATATGGCATGATGATACAAGGCTCCTGCGGAAGTGATGATTAAAGGTTAGGTCAGGCTTACCCTCGTTGTCGGCCTTCAAGTAGAGCTGCCCCTTTGGGCTCAGACACTGCCGATACTCGGTCGTGTAACATTCTGTATTCATTCAAACCAAATTTCAAGTTATCAAATTTTGTAATTATGCGATGCTCTTTCCTCGCGTAGCCATTAAACGTGTGTAATAAATCTTTCTTTTTCTCTTTTTTGGAACGTTTTCAAGCAGACCGTGGTCAATATTTCCACGCGTTCTAATGTAACATGAAATGTTTCCAAGCATTTTCAATAGCGCAGCGGAGAAAATTTTGAATCTATGCCCGAGATTTTGTGAAATTTTAATCATTCGAATTGAAATGTTTATAGAATCTTAATTTCATACTCTGAATTTCTTTCTATAATCAAAGTTTTAAATTCCGCTGCATTTTAACGCTTTTAATAATTATTATTACGAGCTTCTTGAAATAATAATAATTTATTTGATACTACCAGCGTATCATTATATTTTCAAGCGTAAACAATTGCAAAAGAAACTAGAAAGTAACTGTAAAATAATTGCGGGAGATGCTAAAAATTTATGTTCAGTACGTGAGAAGCGGAAAATTAAACAGAAAGGCTGTTCCAGGTAACAACACCGAACTCTCTCCTTTTCTCTATTATTTGATCGACACGATAACAATACTTTTAATCACACATCGTTATTGGTTTTCGTCGAAGCAATATGAATACATAAAAGTTATTAATTTTAATATTGGGAAATCTGAACTGCACTCGCGCGAAAGACACAAGACGTATAACTTGGAGTTTTCTGATATTCGTTAAACCGAGTTCACCCAGAAGCTCATGAATCCAAGAAGATTCAGTTTTCGAAGATACAAAGTTTGCTGCTCCACTTTTAGATGTACTTTTCTCTTTAAAATTTGCGTTCTTCTTATTGTTCGATAGCTAAAATTAGTTCCGAAAGTTAGAAGATTAAATAATGGACACATTTTGCAACGGATTTAACATCTGCTTCAGGGCTCTTAACTTTTCTCAATGATAACACGAAAAATCGTTTTCCTCCATTTTTAAATTATTACTACATACACGGTTACTATGTAGAGTCCCGACAAAGTTGCGCTGTCCGTTAAAATGTGCGTTTATCAAAAAAAGTTTGAAATATTTACCGTTTGAAATATATAAATCCTCATCAGAATTTTCTAACTTCTATTTCAATACATTTCGTCTATCTTATGAAAAGCATCGAAAGAACTTGTCTAATTAAACTATTATTGTAAGATTAAAATAAGACACCAGAAAGATACAAATTATTAAGAAGAACTCGTTGGAAAGAATATAAAAATAAGTTATATAAAAATTTACGATTTTATATGGGATAAGACATAGAAGTAGAAAAAACGAAGATTTCAGAAAATGAACAAATTATGTGAAGGTTGGAAAGCTATTATTTAAAGAGAAAATATTTGTTCATCCACGTTGTTCTCAGGCAAATCCTTTTTTAACGATGATTTTAACAGGTATTCGATTCTTAAATTGTATGATGTGCCCAAGTCTATGTTACGAGATGTAGTGTGCTTGTTTAGATTCTCGGTAACATTCTTTCACAAACAACCGGATCAATACTCCACATCTTCTAGGAAAAATGTATCGTGGTATCTGTTTCTGCGTTTCAGTCAGTTTTCAACGGCGAAGAATAATATAATGCCGGCTGCATTAAAAATAAATTTCACTACTAGTCAGACAGGAACAGGAGAGGGGTGTAGAATCATTGATCTTATGGAATGATTCATTGATTTTAAACGAATCACAGAGCATGAATGAAGGTCCGACCACTTACGCATGAGCATCGAGTGAAGTGGATCGATTGCTATAATAAAGTGCATTTTATCAACGGCTCTTAACGGCGATACAATCAAATGTGGCGCGACGATTCGTCCTACGATTATCATAAAAATAGATTTAGGACAATAAAAGGGGTGGAAAAATAGTAAAGAAACAGAGGAGATTTTCCCAAGTAATGAATATACAAAAAATCATGTTCATAATTCGTTAATGTGTATTGGTTGCGGCAGCAACGAAGAGGCTGAAATTAATACTACGATCGAACCTCGATTATTCACGTATCCGATTATCCGAGCGTTCAATTACCAAACAATCTCAATACCTGAGCTTAAGCGGAATTACAAAACGCATTTCCTGTATAAATTTACATCATACAATACTGATGACAGGAATATAATACGTAAATTGTGGATTTCAAGAATTTAGAAATGGATGACTTTTCGTAAGAGAAATTAAGTTTATTGTGAATGATAATCTTTTCATAGAAATTTCCCTTTCCCCCTCGAAAGCTTTCTTCTGACATAATTTCGATTAGTAAAATCTATTTCATTTATTTTTGTTATTTATATAAATGCTCGTTGGCTTATAGCAAATTGAATTCGTCGAAGCGAAGTAGCGCAATTGCCAATGGATTACAGGTTGTTTCTTCGACGATGCGTAGAAAGTCCTTAATCTGTGTGAATATTGAAACCTTTGACACCTTCACAGAACTGAGTTAATCCTGCCTCAGGGTTCCGCCCTGCAAAATCATGTCTTTTTCAAATAGTGTTCAAGCGTGCGAATTGACATCGGCGCATCATCAAATCTCTGATGAAGCTCTAGCTCCAACACCTCTGAAAAGGACATTTTTTTCTGAGGAGAACAAAAAGTTTTCAGAAGCAAAAATGCTTCAAAGAATACACTATTTCCTTTCATTTCATGATTTGAATCAATAATAGTTAATTGAATAATAAATATTTGAATGAAGACAAATGAATATTTAACAACAGGAATCGAGATTTTGAGATATAGAATGAATTATAAAATTATTTCATTTGATGACTAAATAATGAAGTAATCCAACGAAAAGTCATTTGCTTAAAAAGAAAAAGAAATATATATTTATAACAATATACTGGCCTCATTTATGACTAAATTTGTTTGTGTAGTTACAACATCTGGGAAGTATATTCTCAACAATGTACTAATTAATAATATTATCAAATTAACATAACATACGCTACTAATGTACACTAATATGCGATATTTCGAGAAATTATGTGAACCGCATCACCGCAGGACTCGGAAAATTACTGAAAGAGCTACACACAGATATTTTATATCAATTAAAACGAAACATTATATTCAAAAGTTTAGCTGCCTATTATTAATCATTTGTACACCATATTTCTGCACTTGTGTAGACACTCGTAAGTTCATGAAATATTTAATAACAGGAATCGAGTTTCATACACTGCCGTGTCAATAGATCCACGATGCTGTACTTTTTTCGAAGAAGATAATAACCGAGCTGTAGTAGTCGTAAGTTCGTAATCGTATAATCCAAGACCTAGTCTCGTCAAGGTATACTTTTCTTCATTAGATGCTACTTCCTTCCTCAAAAATAGAACTGTCTACGGAAGACTGATTAGGCCTTATTACTTTCATGCTAATTACGAAGGAACGTATCTAAGTGTAGAAGCGACGAAAACTAAATATCATTTCAAATTGTATTTTCTGCAGTTCAAGAAGACAAAGCTTCTTATTGAAAGTTTAATAACCGGAAGGATATATTAAATCTTAGTTGAGAAATCTAGTATCGTATTTATTGTATTTTTACAATTTTTCCAAAACTAAAAATACCTACTGAGATAATGTTTCGTCGCCCTTGCTGTATTTACAATTTACAATGGTTTTTATTCCGAGAAAATAAATTTTTTTGCCATGAGTAAACAAATTTATTTTGAATGATAAAATAAAATTTAGTGGGAGAAGTATGTGCATGATGTAACAGAAATACAGTAACAGATTAGTTTCAGAGTTATGACGACAGTTATTACCGGAGAATTGTTGTCCTAGTATATTTTATAAATTGTTGAAAATGGATCCGATATCTTTCTCTTTGGTTTCGTTCAAATTGGTTTATAAAATTGTCGTAAATAAATTTTTTCATAAAATTATTGGAAACAAGTATAGACAGTTAACTATTTTTGCTAAATATTATATTAATACATGTTAATAAAAACTGTATGTTATGTATCGAGTAATGAGTTAGCAGGTAGAATGAGCTTAAGGCACTTGGATTAATAAAAAGAAAATTCTCAAACGATTAATTTTTAATTTTTAAACTCTCTTTTGTTTACTGATATTTAAAAAGCAATTATACTTTTAATTTAATTTGTAAAATGTTTTTAAAGGAAAGAGTTGTTGATAGAAAATAACATTATAAAAAGATAAAATTACATCTTTCATATAAAATTAAAAACTGATTAATATTTGCGGCATATGACTACTGTTTGATGTATGAAACAAAATAAAATTATGAAATACTGCTTGCTTCATATATTTTCTCCGCTTATCTCTACAATAAATTACCTTTGTAACCTATACATTCATTTAACTGTATTCTGAATTATGGGTCGAATGTAATAGAATGAATTAAACGAGATACGAAGAATATGATATCAAAAATATCATTATCCGCGTAGTCTTGAAACATTTACTGTTCAAAATATTCATTCAAAGAATGAAAAAACGATAAAATCCATACAAATTTTTGAAATAAGTTGCTTTGTAAACAATATGCCTAACCACAGATTTAGTCGATAAATTAACGTGATTACATACTGTCGCATTATATCCGCTTTTCATACAAGAAAGCGTTCATGAATATTAACTGCTTCGAATAATCGAGGTTCTACCGTACGTAAAAAGTAACAAGAGGTTCAGATCGTATAAACTAGAAACCCGATCGGGTGTATATAAATTTTATCGTCGTGATATACATCGAAGCCTTGATCAGGTATAAAACTCTACTTACCGTCAGATCATGCGATATCGAAGCAACAGAGAGGATCGTCATAAGTAAAACGGACACCAACGAAGATAATCGTTGAGAAAGTAACGAGGAGATATTCTTTGGAAGAAAAAGAACCGATAAAAGCCGTTGCATTCTGCACATTAAACATCGAGAAATTTCGAATACGACTGCCAATCATCGACCAAGCCAGCCAATAGTGAAGAATAGGGCATTCAGCAGAGAGACGATACAAAAATACCAAGTGTCTTTTTAAAAGTATTCTTAACGAATGTTCAAAAAACACACTTTGTTTCGGTGTATGTAGGAAAGAAAAAGAAATATACATATATATATTTATAATATATATATGTGTGTCGTTGGAGATCGTGAAGAGGCAGCATTCAATCCATGATTTTATATTCGACTCATCTTTTAATCGGCCGAATTCTTTGTAATACTCAAGTGACTAGAAAAGAAAGTCTCTTCCTTTTCTCGTCGATTCAACAGCAGAGAATCGTCTTCTCGAGTAATTAAGTGGCGCTTTTCATTTGCAAAGACGTTAATCAGCTTTGTCTACAAATATGTCACTCTGCCGGCAGCAATAATGTCCTAACCCTCAGGGTAAGCTCATCTCCTTGCCTCTGAATCTTTTAAGGCAGTACCTATAACGCTGTCTACTGAAAAGGAGGTCGCGTACCTCAACGACATTCGTTAAGGTCGTTCTAGTAAATAATGGATTCCACTCTGCACACATTCAACCACTATCCCTTTCAACGGTGTAACGAAAAATTAGCAGGCTTCTGTAATATCACATGTAAATAAATATGTATCACTTAACGCGTCGAAATTTGGACGCGATTCAAAGACAAGAACGCGCGAGTAACACAAAGAAAATATTCAATTACACTTACTACTTGCAAATATTTAAATATCTTAAGTTGTAGAATCTTCTGTTTTTCTTCTTTCTTTTTCTCTCTTGAGAAATTATTTCTCTTTGGAAAACAGCTTTCCCAGGGATACCTCTCACTGACTGAAAAACGCTGAAACTCGGTCATTTCTCGGAAACGAGTAAAAGTTTTCTATTAAGAAACTTCATAAGTTTCCAACTCCTACTAAAATTCACGTTTAATTACTCTACCCTTTTTGTATACTAAAATTGTTCGACCCACGGCTTTCGGTAGTAACGCAACTCTATATTATTGATTGGAAAATAAGTTTTCCATTTTCGCCAGTGACTTTCAAACCTACTAAGTGAAAATAAATAGAACGCCACAAAAATAAACATACCAAAAGAATAATATTTCCATTTTTTCGGTTTTTAATCTAATCTGATATCGGTGCTGAAGTATGCAATATTATTATATAACGCAACAGCAAACTGATTATCGCAAACTATATTTACCCACTAATAGAACGTGCGAGAGTTAATATATAGCTACCAAATATTATACTACCAAGATCGAATTCGATTTGCAGTTTAATCGACACAAGCTACCACGGTATTTGCTACGTCCCAAACAGTATTAAAACAAATATATATAAAAAAAAGAAACTTAATATAATAATGTGCAAATTAATACGGAATGCTGCCTCTCCAATGTTTACAAAAAATATTAGAAGCGTATTACGTATGTGTTTCGATATTAAAACGATTCTGCTGTAAAATTAATATACTAGTATTCTTAAATAAGGGCGACTTTTGGTCACCATGTTAATGTCCGAACGATGTTAGCTCTCTTCTAGAACTAACAGCAAACCTAAGAAACGTTACAGTGCCCTTTCACCTTTACACTTCCCTAGATAAACGAGTTTGCTTGCTTTATGCACAGAGGAGTCGGTAATTTATTGTCATTCACACATCACGGAACGTCTATAACGAAACCTTTCCGGTATCAGTATACTACATATGAATTTACATACGTAACTGCTTTGATAACTGGATCCTTTGTGGTGGCCCATGGTGGAAACCGCACCATACGTATAAAATTAATCGTTGAGCAAGCAACGCTCGATTTCGAAATACCTTGAACAACCGAGCAGTGAAATTTTCATTGTTTTAACTATTCCACGGCTTCACGTTAATACATCGCATTGGGAATAGCGTTTAATTGCTTCGGGATATCCACAATAAGATTATACGTCTTTCTTTATGAAAAGATAATGAAAATTATAGAAAACACTTGGACTTTGACCTTTAAGTATTCTTTGAATACGGTAAATTTTATAGGAATAAAAGTAATAATTCATAAAGAATTTTCGAACTTATATAATGTTGCATGTAATGTTATCATAAACATTCTTTCGTTTCTTTTGTTTTGATCTATCGAGACATCTTGGATATGTTTTACAATCGGCCAATATCTCAAAAATGGAGCGTCAATATCGCACAAAATATAGTATCTACTTTATATATCTATTTCCCGATGTTTTAATATTTACGAAGATTGAAGAGAACATAAATATATTAATTCGACATTCATTAACATTTATGAAAATAATGATATTTAATTAAAGCTTTTATGGTATTTACGAATATTTAACACAAATCCAAAGGTATTGTACTATGCACAGATAATAACAAGAAGTATATCGAAATGGAGTTTTACTTTATACAGCTCAAAATAATGATTTGCAAAAGATTGATTTACCCGTCCCTTTCAATTTCTGTTGTACTTAATCTATAATATTCCTGAAATGTTACCAAAAGACATTACTTCATACATCTTTATCTCTAACAGAACTCCTTACATTCAACGATACATCTTCTCTATGAGAACTCCTAACATTCAAAGACGTTGTTTATAATGTTGAAAAATCATGCAGCATAGAATACACTGTATCAGTAGCAACAACACGACAGCGCCATCAATTCCCCACTTTGCCCGGGTGGATACAATCATAAATTATGATTTTCCGTGGAAAAAAGAAGTAGTCGATTCGGTTCAGTGGTAGCGATCATTGTATTGTTACCGTTGTGCAGTGGTGTGCACGTGTTTGACACCGGCGAAAGGACAAGTAAAACGAACGCGAAAGTGTTGGCGAAGAGAGCTAACGCCGTAGCGGTGTTTCCCTGGAGAATGCGCAGGAAAGAGTACGTTCTGTAGAACGGCTATGCACGCAGATAGAACGTGAGAGAACGAAGAAGGAAGTGTTAAAACATACCGACGCCGTTTGCCTGGGACGACTGAAGTTGCACGGCGACGCTGAAGCCGCGTAGCTTCACCGGTGCGGAATTTTCCTTGCCTGCCAGGAGAGCGCATTGCGGCTTTAGATCACGATGAATTATGTCGTTCTCGTGGCAGTATCGCAACGCCTCCAGGATCTGTCGCATGTAATGGCTGGAAAACGAAAGCTGCTGTTATAGATATTGCTATCCTACGGGAGATGAGGCGGCTGAAAAATATATGCACGCGTTGTCTATTCATCTCGATGAATGAAAATCTTCGGTCTTATCGCGATATATATAGTAGAATGTGAGAAACAATGATCAAAGATTTAGCGAGCTTGCAGCAAAAATACGATAAATAATAAATTCTAAGATAGATTTTAAAGAATAATATCTGTAACATTGTCACTACTTTCATACTTTTCGATTTTGGAATTGAGCATTTTATGATTTGTAAGTGGTTCGTACAGTCTTTGATCATCAAATTAGGAACACCTTCATTTTCTAACTACAACACTATGTTATGGCAAATTATTCTTGCCATTGATGAAACTATGTCAATGATCAGTTGTTCTTGGCTGCTCAAATGTTTAAATATATGGACGATCAAGTATATATAGCAGTTGATTTATTACTACATTATGTCCTGGAGTTAACTTTGGCGAATCCCTTCCATCGAAAAACATTTCCGTATTCTCGTAAATAGAAGAAAAGGTATCTATGTTAATTCGATACAGCACATATATTAGTGCATCCATATATAACACCAGTCTATTTACTGTTACTAACGGTAAATCAGATATATATTGATAAATTAACTACTTGATAAAGTAATTGGTAATAACTGAGCCGAATTTTATATAAAATATAGATATCTTTATTCTCTCAACCAACGAGTATTAAATGTTAATATACAAAAATATAAAGAAGGACGTCAGTCGGTATTAAATCATCTTATATTCAAGAATACAAGAACAGATGAACATTTTCACTACTGTCCTTCCTATTATTTCACTTCAACTAAATAGCGTATATTTTTCAGGTTTCGTCCACGACCATTTCAAAATAACATTGTATAATGCTATTAGATCCAGTTATAAGTTTTCATAAGAAACTTCTATTTTTCATCGTTAAACAATAAATCTCAAACTATGATATGGTGTAACGTTTCTTGCGAACAGTATATCTTTTACTGCGACAAAAATATCGAATTTCCGTCTCGTGAGATCCATTAATCAAAGTTATTTTACAGAGTTGCAATATGATAAAAATTAAAAAGATAGAAATATAGATTAATGATGCATAAACAGAATTTTATGAGAAAAACTGATCACTAAAAAAAAAAAAAAACATGTACTTTATAGCAAATTTTTCTCGATCTGATAGTGTAAAACTGAAACCCATTATATTTTGTACGTTATTTACCTATTTCTGCTTATCTTTCGAAGTTCTGTGTGTACATAAAAAGACTATCATCTATGAATGTAATTTTGTCTGATAATATTTCCAATATATTGAATATTTACCAAAATTATTATCAATGTCAAATCGAAGTAATTAATTTCAAACGAACTGATCTCAAACAACTTCATTTAGATCTTTGTAATTACTGTCTAACGTTCCCTGCGTTCTCTCACGAATTGTTATCATATACATGTTCCCGAAATATCTTGCGAGTCGTACCGCGTACGAGTTCTATCTGTGGATAAAAGCAATGGATGTCGAAAGTTTCTAGTAACATTTTCTGTCAAGACAGGTGAACAAATGATAAAAACGAAAAACGGTGTAACTTCGAAACGAGGTCAGATACTTTTATACGTTGATATGCACGCCCGCACTTTGTACCTTATGAAGTATCATGCACAATGTTATTTAGGCTTTCACTATATTACAACAGTTGAACGCTATTCGGGATACAGTTTAATGTACGCAGATAATTGCAAGCACGAGCAATGGGAATAATAGAACTGGTTTTATATTAAAATAGAAATGCATATGTGCCTGCGTATTGCGGTGCAGCGGCGATTATTTGAGAAAAAAGAAAGATTTTCATTCACAAATGCTTTCAAGTCTGTTAGATATTTATTGTTTTCAATATTTAACGAATTATGGACGTATAATTTAAAGAATTGGTAAATTAATATTGAGTATACAACAAAAATAGTATTATATACTACCACTGTGACCTCAACAGATTTTTAAAATCCTGTTACGATTCTCGAATTTCTCATTATGATATCTCGTTCTGATATCAACAAACAGAAAAGCTTTCGACGTTTTAAGCATAAAATTCAAAGAAGGCGCGTGGATTCTGAAAACACAACGACTGTGGATTAAAATGGTCAAAGTAAAATTAACTCGGGTTTAAATAGCGTAAAAATGTCTATGCTTCTTAACCGTATAGGTCAGGCGATTAAGGAAAATGTTAAAGGAATGAGATACAGGGATTATTGAAGGTTGACCGAGATATAAAAAACGATGGTCAAAGCGCTCGGCTCTCGTGTATTTATTGCATATTCGTTATACTGTCTAGATAACGTCAGTTCAATCGACTTTCTGTTAAGGGCGAAACGGTTGTCGGATACAATTCGTTAATACAACAGTTTATCCCCTTTCATGTACTTGTAAGATATTTCCAAGTTGATTAACAGGTAAATATTTCAATCGAGTTATCGACTATCGAGTGTTCGATACGATATAAACAGCCGAATCGAATGTTCGAAAATATATATGTACATGTACTACTTTATATTGATATCGAATGGAAACGAAACGATAAGCGTTTAATAACTGCATTTTGTACAATATATGGAATCCTAAATATCAACGATGAACAGAAAGGATACGACATGTCCAATGTTTTACATATTTACTTCAGCAATATGTGAAAATTTATTTTATCCACCCGTTAGAAGATAACGCGACCTTTTCGTAATACCAATAAATTAAGTTCACCTGTGAAACATTGTTTTCGTTGATATAAACCTGGCTAATACGAATTACTGCCCCATAAAAGTTTGTTAAATGTAATAGATTCGTACATTTCCTCTCTCTCTCTTTTTTTCGTGATTTATATGTTTTAAATATTGGAATGTTTCAAACAATTCGTGAAGTTGATTATTCATCTTGTAGAAAACATGTAAAACATTTTTATGTTACAAAGTTTTTTTTTATTATATTTTCTATAAAAATAAAAATGAAAATGAAAATAAAAATAAGAAAGAAATAAAAATTTAAAAAATAGAAAAGAAGGAGAAAGGAAAATGTGTAATGTAAGAAACATATATGGAACTGTTGCAAAAATTATAAAAAATTCTTCAAATTTTAAAAAATACATCGTACTAAATGTGTAAAATTATTGTGATTACTTTAGTAAGTAGTTATAATAACAAAATTTCTCCGAATTTAGAAACTATCTTAACGTACGTACTCTTAAGAGCTCTTAATATCTAAGATATTAAATGTAGTTCCTAATTTTACTAACCTGTATTTGACTAGTAATCCTAACTTTTGATTACTTTCGGGATATAGCGAAAGCGTAACAAATAATTTATTAATGTCAAAATGGAGATTGACTTTTGCTATTGTTTCCGAGCAAAGTGAATTTTCGACGGTGTCGAATAATAACTTTGTAACTAGGTTTAATGCATCTCGCATGTCTAACGTATCTATAACTCCGAACTTGTGAGTCGAGAAGGTTGCACATCCATAACTTATATAAGTTACGTCCCCAGAGATTTATGTTTAGTGCACTATTGAAATTCTTTTTTTCAACGTGAAATATCAAATATCAATGTAGCTGACATAGTACGGCTCAAGAGAATATTTGAGTTTGGACAACCGAAAAAGGGATATATACATACATATATTTTAAGAAGAACTACATAGATATCTAAAATATCTAAATAATTTTTTACCTCTTCTAAATATCATAGATTACATCAGAAGTTCGCTGAAATTGTTAACTAATTATCATTGAATTTACATACTTCCAAATAATTGAAAGGATTCATAGAATTAGTAGTACTCACTGTACTGTAATATCCGGTCATTTTGATCAATTTGTGGTTACTTGTTAGTAACAATTGTTACTAACAATACATATATTAATATATACCATTAAAGCACATACAAATAAATATATTATTTATCATGTCCTTATGTGGTCAAATTGTTCATATTAATTTCAATTACTTCTTTGAGAATTTACTAATAGTGTATTAAAATTAAAGTTAGTTATGAACGTTTATATCGCTACGGGATATTTCTCATTCTCTATTTACCTGTAACCTTAAAATTGTAATTTTGCCGTAGCAAAAACACGTAAAAATATGCGGATTTTTAATCGAGAGAATAAAATGATTCGCTAACTGACATTCGCTACAGACATTCAAAAGTGATAGCTATGAGGTACGACGTGAGCTTACAAATGACCATGAAGAGAGCAAACGCATTTCAGAGACAGTTTTGGACGTGACATGTACCTACACTGTCCATCATTCTGCTGGTTAATCTACCTCTACTCGACGTAGATAGATTCAGCAAACTGGCGACCAAAACTTTCATAAGTAAACATCATCTGCTTCCGAAATCTTAATGACCATACTACACAGTTAAACAACGGTGTATAGATAAGCAGAGAACAATTCAATATTCTAAATATATTCGATAATCCGTGATTGAAACGAAAACTTTCGTTATCGCGATAACTTTTATCGGTTCACTTTGATAGTTTATTCTTTTAGAATATAGGAAACATTAAGAAGAAACATTTTTGCACGAAGTTTCTATTCAAAAATACAAATTTAAATTTTTGAAATGTTTTCTTCCATAAATCTAATATTTGAAATGAATAGTATTTGCAAAGCGTAAATGTGATTTTTATATTAATCGTTCGATTAATACAAATCGTACAGGCTTTATTTTGCAATTTACAAATCTTCTTTACGATTCTAACAATATTTTTCCAACAACTAGCTAACTGAGGATTTAATCTCGGATTTTTGTAGTTTAATACTGATTTAAACGGAAAAGATTGTTTAATTCCAATAGGAATAAACTTATGGAACAGCATTATTCACGAAAAACAGACGTTTTTATCGTTTCTCGAAATGGAGAAATGGTGTTATATAAATGAGAACACGAAGACTGGATGACGAAAGGAAAACGTAAGGATCATAGTGAGATTAATAACTGCAGTATTGTTTCGAGATAAATAGCATGTCTTTTAATAATATCAAGTGAACCTCCGTGTAAATTATGTCGTAAACTCGTGTCACTGTGATACAACATCACTGATACATATAATAAAAAGCTGTTGCAATTCAGGTGGTCTAGGGTAAATATTTTTTCTTTTATTAAATTGTAAAAGATAGCGCTGTGCTTAGATGGTACATTCGAAACAAAAGGAATATCTTTTATGGCTGAAATACAACCTTTGCACAATGTAAAGATCTTCTTACCTGGCTACCGCTTCACTGTACACGAATCCAGCAGTTGCTCTCCGAACGACCTCGAAGCATAAATCAGAGCCATCCATACTGAAACAGAAGCACGACATTAATGCATAATTTACAAGGTGTAACAATTTATGGGAGCATCGGAAAAAAAATCGTATTTTGCTACGGACCTTCAATACGGACACGTATTTCGAAGGACTGCATAACAAAACATAATGATCTTAAAAGAAATATATACAGTGGTCCGTAGAATTTTTAAACAGTTAACATAGAAAACTTTTTGGATATAACGTGCATGTTACACGACACTGAAATTTCATTACTACTGTAGTGAGATAAGATTATATTGGTAAAATTCGAAACTAATCTTAAAATGCATATGAATGTTATGCACATGAATAGCGTTAATGATATTTCGAAATGTTTGTACCAATATTCAAATACTTTTTTAAAATACTGTACACAGATACATCACGTAACGAATCGACAAATTTTTATTTTATTTATTTATTCGGGATACTGAAAAAGCATAACATTCTTCTTTTCATACGAAAATACAATTCAATAACTTTTCTCGTACAATGGAAATTACGAAATAAACAAGAGTGCGAGTCCTGCTATTTCAAACTGCGTTTTCTGCAAAAAATTGAACAAATTGTTCGAATCTCGATATTTACGAGATAGACACGAGCTATTTGCATTGTTGAGAAACGTTAACCTAATTGTTTAAGGAAGTAATGTGTTTGTAATACATGCTTTATCGTGTAACGAAGAATCGAGAAGCTATTGCAAAATAATCTATTCATGGAGATTGAAACTGTATTAATAAAAGAAAATAGAAATAAATAGATAATAAAGTCGTCATCGTAGAATGAAATAAGCTTGTATGTCAGCAGTTGTTCTAATTGGATACTTAGTATTTACGAAGCAGCGTGTGACACATCATATGAGTTAGCCACGCGTTTTAATAGACATACATGTCAAGAAGCATGCAAAGTTCTTAAATGGTAGATTCACGTTACGTGCCGTCGTACTTTACCATTATGTCAAAGTATTATATATTACGAGCAATTCTCTGTAAAATATTACACCATTCATTAAAATTTACGTCATACAAATTTCATTACGTTTCTTTATGTGAAAATATTTTTGTGAGAAAAACTTCTTCAATTACTATTGTTTGAATTTGTCTGTCACGTACTAACCAGTACCCTCATAGAAACTTTACGTCATTATGAATCGACCTAATTAGTGTTGAATGAATCCGCGATAATTGGGACACATCGTGTTATAGCAGGGAACTTCGTTACGATTGTTAACATAATCAAGTCAGACAACGTTGCCGATTACTGATTGTCAATGTGGTTTGTTAATTTAAATTGTATTTATTTCTTATGATCAATAAGCACTACGCATGCATTTTGTTGGCAGCTTAAAAACGTACACTTAGTACGGACGAAAACCAATAATTCTATATAGGGTGGTTGGTAACTGGTGGTACAAGCGGAAAGGGGGTGATTCTACGCGAAAAAAGATGTCGAAAATATAGAATAAAAATTTTTCGTTTGAGGCATTGTTTTCGAGAAAATCGACTTTGAATTTTCGCTCGGTACGCGTGCACTTTATCACGTCTCGTTATAACGGATCTCACTGTAGATCGTTGTCCCGATGGAAAAATTAAAAAAAAAAATTTTTTTTAATTTTTATTCTATATTTTCGACTTCTTTTTTCTCGTAGAATCACCCCCTTTCCGCTTGTACCACCAGTTACCAACCACCCTATATAGAATTATTGGTTTTCGTCCGTACTAAGTGTACGTTTTTAAGCTGCCAACAAAATGCATGCGTAGTGCTTATTGATCATAAGAAATAAATACAATTTAAATTAACAAACCACATTGACAATCAGTAATCGGCAACGTTGTCTGACTTGATTATGTTAACAATCGTAACGAAGTTCCCTGCTATAACACGATGTGTCCCAATTATCGCGGATTCATTCAACACTAATTAGGTCGATTCATAATGACGTAAAGTTTCTATGAGGGTACTGGTTAGTACGTGACAGACAAATTCAAACAATAGTAATTGAAGAAGTTTTTCTCACAAAAATATTTTCACATAAAGAAACGTAATGAAATTTGTATGACGTAAATTTTAATGAATGGTGTAATATTTTACAGAGAATTGCTCGTAATATATAATACTTTGACATAATGGTAAAGTACGACGGCACGTAACGTGAATCTACCATTTAAGAACTTTGCATGCTTCTTGACATGTATGTCTATTAAAACGCGTGGCTAACTCATATGATGTGTCACACGCTGCTTCGTAAATACTAAGTATCCAATTAGAACAACTGCTGACATACAAGCTTATTTCATTCTACGATGACGACTTTATTATCTATTTATTTCTATTTTCTTTTATTAATACAGTTTCAATCTCCATGAATAGATTATTTTGCAATAGCTTCTCGATTCTTCGTTACACGATAAAGCATGTATTACAAACACATTACTTCCTTAAACAATTAGGTTAACGTTTCTCAACAATGCAAATAGCTCGTGTAGGTTCTGTGAACAACACATTACAAGATATCACGTGTCATATGTTAATAGTTCTAATATTAACATAGAATAATCGTTTTTTCTCCTACTTTACTATTCTATTAAATTTATTTAAACGGGGCATACAACATTGATCTTGCTATTCCAAAGAGCATTATTGCAAATTAAATAAATAATTATTATAGTATATGGTTTACAAATGCCGCAAAAATTGAATATTGAAATACTGAAAAATTCGTTTAGATAATTTTTCATACATAAATACCACTCACAAAATATTGCCTGTCAATTTGAAAATTAACTACGTTTTTTAAATGTAGATATGACTACTTTTTTTGCCACAGAATTTTCCTTGCACATGCTATGAACGAGGATTGTATATCGCTTTTCATTATTAAATACGAAAATTTCATCGGTACGGATCCTTGCCACAATCACTGATGATTGCAATCATACAAACCTATGTAAATATCTTCTACAGATTTTAGTTTGCGTAGCAATAACTTCGAGCATATCCGGTCACGTTCATAAACGTTTCGTGTTTGAATTCGAGAATTAATCAAACAAATGTTATATAGATTCTCTATTCTAAACTTCGTTGCTTTGATTTGTTTCGATTAAACAATAATTATTTATTTATAATTCAGTATTTTCTGGAGATACAGAACGAAAAAACGAAGATACGACTATGTAATTAAACAATACTCTTGATATATAATTTAAAATTAATTAAATGGAGTAAACGAGCGTATATTTAGAAGTGAAAATACTCTGCATCGTCTATTATTTTTATCTTCAACAATTTTTTTTATATATCGCATTATATCGCATAATGTTAAGAGTATATATTTATATTTTCTAATATTTAATATTCGATATTTAATGATTTAATATTTAATTAATATTTAATATTTCTTTTACTACGTCATAAAAGGTTTGAAATTTTAAGTTAATTAAACCATCCATTTTTCATTACTAGCAACATTTCATAATTGCATTTGCAAGTAAGAGCATTCTACTTCATGAATCTAAATATAGGATAATCAGCTGAACCGCAAAATAGATTGAATACATTAAAACTTTTTATCTTAAGTCCTATTATCGTTTACTTTACTGAAGGAACGTGTAAAACCGAGCATTGCTATGCAATGGTGGCGTTTAGCTATCAAACAGCTTTTTCTCGCCTAAAACTAACTGCAAACGATTTAATTCGTTGCTATAACATTCCATAGTAACGGTTCCACTTCTCGGTTTTAAAGCCTTGTTTTCATGTATGTATGTATACGTATGTTAATAGAACGTGGATATGGTTGGCTTTTTAGAATCTACATATTCTCGACCTTTTTTTTCGCTGAGGATTATTCTAACGGACCCATTTTTTATCTTGAAATCCTTTCTATAAAATATATTTTTTTGTTTGTTCTCTGACAAACCTCAAGCGATATGCGTTCAGGTATTACAAAATATATATTGTTTTTCGACAATATACATATATATTGTACATATCTAAAATTCATTTATTTTACTTTCAACTACATGTTCTAGAAATAAATATTCAACTTTAAAAATATTTAGCTTTTTAATATTAAGACGACATTGATATTTCTTTCATTTCATTTCTCTGTACATACACATACCTTAAAATAATTGATCTCTCGAGAGTCGAATGTTGTACCGAGAAATGTGTAGCTAAATAAAGTGGTATGTCGTCAAACATGTATGAATTTGCCATCCCATTTTACTTGTTTTTTATTTTAGTACAGCTGTATTTCACAATATGTGTGTTACAGAGTGACGAGGAAGTTACGGTTTGAAAGTATATTAATTGAAAAGTCCCTGTCTTCAAGGAATCCAAGTAATCTTCATTGCAATTTTAGATAAACCAAATAAATTTTATTCGAAGGTTACTAAGTTCTCAAATTTGCAAAAATTATAATGTAAACGATTTCACGATTTACCACAAATTGAAAATTATATACTCAAGAGATTATTGTAAATTACAAACATCAAATCTTTAATACTTGTTTTAAGCAATTAATTGGTTTCAATTGACATTATTATAAATACTACAGGATAAGTGCCAATAATTATGTTGCATGAAAGGGAAACATACAACACATGGTTAGTAACTGGCTCAACAAAATTGCGGCTTAGAGTATCGAGAAAAACTAATTGTGGTACTCCAGAAATTGACATAGGTACATACGTATTATTAAACACCATACGGATAAAAATTCTGACTTCAATAATTTCGCGTTAATGGAAACAAACTTTCACTATAAAGAATATAATAAATATAATAATATAAAAATATAAAAAATAGTAATTTGTAAATTCGAAATGTGCAACGCTCATCAAAAATTTCTCTCATCCTGCCAACATTTAGTTTGATGTTTATAAAACGTTTTCCTCGCGATAGAAAAGCTGAGTACCTTTGAAGCTTACAAAAGCTATCTCAAAAATTTACTACTAAATTCATTACTAAAAAGGACAAATTTTCAGGAAAGGCATCATAAAGCTGCCAAATAACTAACAAAAAGTTATATTAGAGAAGTTAGAAAGTGAGGGTACATATTTACAAAATGCACATTTAACAAAATGCTACTTTTCTAAAGAGACGTCACTTTTAAATTTTTCCTACTTGTTTTTCCTCCTACGAACATTTCAAAAAGTCCAATGCAATCTGGTATAAATTTAGTTATGATACATCATGGATCTTTTCATGTCATTACACTTCTAATTGCTCTGAAAAAGCGTGGTCTTCCACTTAGAAAATCATTTAACTCGAAAAGTTGAAAAAATGAAAAACAAAGGTCGAAAGAGAGGTGCGTGAAAAAACGCTGTTGCCGACAAGCATATTCAAAAGGGAGTCTTTTAATGAATTATGAACAAATTCAGATAAATGCGTAACCAAAGCATCGCTCGGCTCTCATTTCATTCCACTCTTCTTCCCATGTTTAAAGCGTTTCAAATGCTTCTATAGCGGTCTAAACGAACGTTTTATGAAATCACGAGAATTCCAGTAGAATCTAAAGATCAAATCATGACGAAACCGTATTTTTGTTCCCGTTGATGAATTATTAAAATCACGCGCAAGAAGCGAAAGTCGAAACAAACGGGATGTCGGTTGAAAACATACTTCGTTGAGTTTAATACAAGTTCTTCTTCAAAATCCTTCGAAAAAAGAAATAAATTAAATATGGTTGTACTTACTATTCGAATACCATATAGAGCATACCCTCCGAGCTGTATGTTTCCAATAACTCTACGATATGGGGATGTTTTAACATGTGGCATATCGTGGCTTCTCGTTTCAAATCTGCAACAATCGTACACTTATGACATTTCTCATTTTTTACATATTCCAATAATACATACGAAAATGTAATAAAAGATAAAAGAAAAACTGATCATAAAGTGTAAGAAATTTATTCTCATTCTGTTACGTCGAAAGAAGATTTCTCCTAAAATTAAAAACTTAAGCACAAGATGGAAACATAATTTCATTGTAAAAATCATAAGAACCATATAAACCTATCGAAATCAATTCGTAGTTAACGTAATTAAGTGTTCATCCGACTATAACTAAAAAATATATAGCGCTTGCAAGTATTTCTAAACTTCTCCGTTAGTATCGTAAAGTACTTGGGAATTGAATAAATAATTCAACGACTGCTTCAGATTTTGATCACAATTCTGTATTCTAAACTATGCGCACTGTTACAACATTAAACCATTTGTATACACAGCACGTAACCAGAATCGCTTTGATAACTCTGTAAGTAATAACTTCAAGGAAAATTGGACCGGTTTAATAATTCGTAATTTAAAAGATATTCGTATACTATCACAATCATTCGTTCTTCTTACTCGCTTGTATTTTTTGAAATCACAGAAGGTTCAAATTAGTAGAATATTTAAAAAAGTGATTTAGTGACTATTTTAATATATATCACTAAATTTACATGGGTACTATCTTAATTTTCCTCATAAAAAGTCTATTTTACATTCACCATTGAATTGATAAACTTTATACAATTACTAATTATATGACACGAGTAAATCAGAGAGATTGCCAATAGAAATTCTTTCACAGTTAAAAATTATTATTCGACATGCTATTGCAGGATTGAAAAAAGTCGATATGAAACGGTCACAAAGAAACATTACGATAAATATTGGAAACACATTGAACATTACTTGCTATAGGAACCGGATCTGATAAAATTGATTTTTATCACTATTGTGACGTTCCAGCATTCTCTTGAAATTACGTTCTAACTATGACGCATTTTCATAATATTATTAACCTTTAAAGCGATGCATCTCCTTTTTACCTATTATTAGAACTATATACCTCTTAGACGTACGTATGTAAAAAAGATGATTTTTATTATTAGACATGCAACAAATATACACTTATATGAAGTATTCTGATAGTCGTATTTCTCATAAACAAATAATACATTTCTTTCTTTCAGAAGAATGGAACGTGAAGACAGCGAACCACATAAAAGGCCTCGTTTCTCTCTAAAACTATGATAAGATATATTTTCAATTAGTTATAAAAAAAGAAATCACCTTTCCAGCATATCTTATATATAACTTCCATGGTTAATAATATTAATGTCAAAAGCTTAAACTTTAAATACTATTAAATAATCACGCAGCTAATCTTTATCCACATTACAATATGTCAGTCCAGAATGAAGTTATTTTTGCTTGCTATCAGGAGAACCAACTCCACGTGGCCAAAGGCATCTATACATATACGCATGTCTACGTATATCTAAAAATATATACAATTTGCGATATAAGTATGATACACATATATGTGAATCATATAATCAGAATCTTTTTAAAGTATAACGTGTTTCACATAAATACTTGAACAATGTTAATAGTTAAAATAATTAAAGATATCGTGGAAGGCGATAAGCTTTATCATCTATTGGAATTCATTAAACAATTAAAAATAATTGACAGACAACAAAAATATTCAAACAATTGCTGCATCATATTTTTCGCTAACAATAAGTTCTCAATCGGAGCAAAATAAAAACTTACGCTCGGATAATTCGAGAGCGAAGCATACAAATACCTACTGCAGGATTTATATTTAATTTCGAAAATTTGCCGCACGTGTTCCACATTAGAATCGAGGAGACTAAGTTCAGGAGAACGAATACAATTTCAACCGAATGACACAATGGATCGGGCGAATTCGTGACTTCGAATCAGTGCGTAAACATGAAATCGAGCACAGAGAATACGTTTGTTTCGAGCAGGATAGGCGGCGGTAATTAATGGCAAAACACCAAAGTGTATACACGCGTTCTGATTCTCCGAGAACTTACCGTTCGTGCTTAGACCGGGACTGGATGTGAACTTTGCCACGTCCACGATTTTTACCGCGAACGTCTGCCCTGTCTGCCGGTGGATGCATTTCCTAACTACGCTGAATGGTCCCCTGAAACAAGAACACGACCACCAAATGTCATTCACGTTTCACTCGTCCTAAATTATGTTACGTTTGTGGTTATTTTTGAGATTAAATACTTAATTTATCTTAGACATTAGTAAATATGATATATAGAAAAATATCGAAATTTAACAATGCTGTATGCTGAAAAATCTGTTGACACATATTATTATTTCGTATATGAAGTATATGCTGGTTCGAGTAATTTCTCAAGTTTGATACAAATTATATTGATCGATCTAAAAACCTTAAAACTATTCATTCGTCATTTATGTCACTTGTTACAGACATTAAAAAATAGTAGATTAGAAAATTATTAATATTTCTAAGTATATGCTAAATCAGTTATAATGATTTGTAGATTTTATTCGAATCGTGAAAATATATTTCGATAAACTGAATAATATTTGTTAAGTATGGGACACAAGAACAGTTATTTTGTTTCGATGTTAAAGTATAAAAGTAAAGACAATATAATACACATTTTCGTATTGAAAATTTTCACGTCCAACCTTTCAATTAATTCAATTCATTGTGTTGAAGGCTTAATGTCCATTATGGAGTTATAAACGCGATGACTGAATTAGCATTCACACGTCAGCGAATAAGGTGTATTCGTGCCGATATCGATCAGGCTAATTTGCCGTATGTTAACCACGCGCGCATTCATCGAATTCGCGAAAACCATAATGCATCGAACGATGTCTATCCGGCGATCGAACTGGCCACGCATTACTGCGATGCAATCTGTCTCGAGCACGCTGACCCTTTAAGTTCGCTAAGTAACCAAGTTATGTAATCGGTTCATCCAAAATATGTATGCATGCATTTATAAGAGGATTGCCGGATATCTAGGTCACCAATTTTGATTAAATTCAACGTGCGAATTACAGATATACATACACATATGTGTATATGTAAATAACACAGTGTGTTTCATATAAAACATGATATCGTAAAATGATTCGGCTCTGGGAGTAGGAAAAATATTTCACGAGGAATTTTACAAGAAGAATTCTAGAAAGAATAAATATGTTGCAAAGAATATTTTTTCTTATTCCAATTTCGTGTTTTACGTATTTGGTATTCGAGTGTGAATTTTTGTTATTACACATTGTAGCTAATGTTAAAATATCTTTCAGAAGTATCCGATAGAAAAATATTTAGAAGGAGAAAGAACGTTGTACTATAATAAAATAAAAAAATATATATTAAAATATAGATAGATGTAAACTTTACAGCTACAGCAACTATTAATATTCTCGTAAGATCTAATCAATTTGTTTCTGCTTTCATTGTATGCTGGCAACTATTTGCATTTATAATACCAAGCTAATGCAAATCAAATTTAATTACTTTCACTGATCCATAATGGAATATGCAAATAAGTCAATAAGTAATAATAACAACATGTACCTAATTATCCCTGCATTGCAAATCTTTTCACAGTAACATAATATAATCCTGAATCAAGATTTATGAAATCTTACGTATTCGGTACGTATACGGTATTTATTTCACGTGTAGCTACAATCTAGATCGTGAGTAGTCGTGCAGAGCAAATCGGGTAAAACAAAATCCAGACACGCATGTTTACAAAAGATTAAAGTCCGTCTCATTTAACTAGATTATAAATTGTTCCATTGAGCAACAAGTATTCTCACATAAATGCTCCACCGAGAAAAAGTTCATACATAGGCACTCGAAGATTCGTGTCAAGAACCAAGGAGACGATAACTGAGCAGAACCCGACTTCAACCTTAACATATCTTACGATATCATCGACAGGATCAAGCTTTACATTCCATTGTATCTTCGATACAACAGTGTATAATTGTACAATGAAATCCTTCCGTTACTGTTCCCTTCTATTCTATGAATAAGAAAATATCTCGAAATATTATAAATAAATATAACTAGAATATTATAAAAGAAATGCTTTACTTTGTAAACAATATCATACGAAAGATATCCAAATATAAACATTTAGAAAGCTCCTTTACTTTGGAAAAATATGTAAAACCAAGTAAAACTTACTTGCTGTTTGCTAAGGATTTCTGTACGTTTTGGTACACTTAAATTTCCTATAAGTGACTAAGTATCGTGGTTATAAATATCTCGATATGCAATGAAAACATTTCCATATTTAAAAATGGAAATCTCAAACAGTTGGCACCTTTCCATTCTTTTCACACCTTCTGTTATTAAATGGATTATGCAAAATGACATACTTCAACTTTCGTCGGTAAAAGCGCAGTAATTCGACAATCTTCAACCGCAGTAACCCAATAAGAAGGTGTGCTTGTTCGTGTCCCACTTTTTGCAAGAAATTATCGACACCTCGTTGTTACTTAACAGCTATCAATTAATGACAAACATTGTGACGCTTTAAATTAACTTTCGAGCATCGTAATCTGTTTACAGTATAAAAAAGTGTTACCAAAGAAACTTATTAAGTAGATAAGTATGAAACATTAAGTAGCATAAACAGAAAGAGTATAAATAAAGATTTTCCGTTACGACAAAGTAAAATCTGTTACATTAAGGATATAAGTGTCACATTACATGCAGTATTTTTATCTTAAACATACGAATATAGTTCGAAAGCTATGCTATAGTACAAAATTTCACATATTTAACGAGATAACAATAACTTACGTGGCAAATTGCCTGTTAGAAGACTATTTATGATGTTGTCCTAAAAAGAAATATTTAACAAAAAATTTGATATAGTAAACTACATGAATTACTAATGTGAGTACATTTTCCTCATAAATAGTCCAAGTAGAATTAATATTTATGAAATAACTTTTTAATTCATTCTGCAATTAAATAAAAGGAAATCCTCGCTAAAAGTGCCCACGTTGAAAAAAATAGAATGGAATTTCATTCATCAAAAGTTCCATTTTTAATAAATTGGAGTCTGGAAATTCATCAAATATTTAGATGTACACTCGACCGTATTTTTCGGTTTGAACGCATCTCTTTAATACTTATGTTCATCTGCATTCGTTTACGATTTTGAGAATTTGCTAGAATTTTAATTTCTACGTGTTTACTTCCCAGTTTCATTGGAACGAGACAGAAAGTCATTTTCCGATCTTCGTTAAATACATGGAAGAGCATAAAAGAAATATTCCTGTAAATATCTTTTAGTAAAATATTGAGAAAATATTACCTGAAAGGTAAAACTTTGATCTGACTCATTAGATTGTACCATTTTCTGGAAAAAATTACGTTTAATTTAAAAAAACATCACTCTACATAATTATACTATATACTAACGTTTTCTCATTAAAGAAAATATCACATAAACGAATGGCTTAATAATGTTTTAATGTTAAATATAATCTCTACACGTCAACCAATAAAAAATCACATGAAATTATACTAAACATTTAATTGTTGTCTAAATCATCCTCCCGCATAATTAAGAATTTTGACAATACATATCTCAAATGTTAGTTTTAGAAGACTCATCCTGCAGATCTGTATAATTGTAGTGAACAAAAATCAGGTTTCTAGGAAGATTTAATGTAAAAAAGTGAGAAATAGAGGTTTTTAAGGTATCTTCAACCGACAATCGGCCAATTGTAAAGTGAGACCTCTGGGATCACAGTCAATTAGGTCAATGAGAGGAATCAAAGGAAAGCGTCTTAACCGAAGATACCATGTAGGAATGTAGGACCAGAGAACGATGGGAACGAGCGTATATAGCAACTTCTTCTTCTTCTTCTCTTTGCTCAAACACAAATTGGAAGCTTTATTTTTGCTTGTTGGAACTATCGACAAGAATTTCGTAGATCTTCAACTTTAATATATCAAGGTATTATTGCACGTCACCGAGGTTTTACAGTCAGCCTTATATACACCATTTTATATAATTTGTGTCTGAAACGTTCCTATTATACTTTATATTTAAACTTAAAAAATATTTTGTATTCAGATAGCATTAAGTAGGTAAATGTAGTTCGTTTACTTTGTGCTGCAATTCTGCATATTGCAGCAGTAGATGTATAAAACTTTTCACAAGAAAAAAGCTAAAAAATGCAAAGAATTATATAAATGTATAATATTTCTTTATTCTCGAGTAAACGAGAGACCAAATAGATTGATTGTAGGCTCTAAAATTCCAAACAATTCCAATATTTGTAAATCAAATAGAAGTATATGCAAGGCTACTCATAAGAATCAATTCGAAGTTAAAATTTTATAAATTTACAACAATCCATTTTTTAAATGATTTTTTATAAAATATTTGGTTAAAAGTTTACCCTTCCCTTTAAATATTAAGATCGATGGATTAACGAGTTTGCGGAAAGCGATTTTCTAGAATATAGTAGATCTGCCAACTAAAGCCATTGACTCGACCGTGGAAGAAAAAACTAGGCTTTTCCCTACGCGACTTGTCACGAGAATTGAAGTTTAAGTGGTAGTAATTAAAACGCCAATCAAAAGTTGATGCGCGAGTTTGTGAAGTGACCTTTTCCGATTTTTAAATTTTCGCTCACTGTGTTGCATACAACGGTTAATTCAGCGACTCCCAGAAATGCATGGACAAAGCTAATAAAAAAGAAGAAAAAGCCGACGATTGCTTTACAGTGACCCATTAAAAGGTTTAATCAAAAGTTTATTTAACTCCGGGTATATAATACGTCAATTGCTATTGAGAGTCAAAGCATTGTACTGTACAAAAGAACGGCTTTCTTTATTTTTTCATATTCAACATATGATAAATACTTCTTTTATTATCGCCGCTTCTCGATGAAATGTAATTATGTACTCGCAAATTTTTAATATAGAATTTAAAATTTCAATTAAAAGATACGCTGAAGAATATTTCTTAATTCAAAAACTGAGTAATAAATGTTTTGTTTGAAAAATTTATTAATTTATACCAAGATATAAAATCATAGTAATAAATTATATATATTTGTAACGAATGTAATATTATAACAAGGAAGATTGTATTGAAGAAATCGTTTTTA